ATGCTGTCTGGAGGAGGGCGGAAGGGAAGGAAGGGGAGAAAATTTAAAACTCGAAGTCTTATAAAGTGAATATTGAAAACTAAAAATAAACAAATTTTTTAAAAAGGCCATCCGGGTTCAGATTCTTTAAGAGTCTAATCAGGGGCTCAGATTCTTAAAATCTGGCCAATGGCTGAGAGTTATTCTCACCCACCTGTCAATATGAGTGTCACAAATGTTTAGATTCCTTAAGAGTCTGGCTAATATGGAGGATCTTTAATTAACCTTGTCTTTGGCTAAAAGAAGACTTGAGTCTAATTCATTTAGGCAGGACCCACATGTCTCTATTTCAGGGTCCTAGCACCCCTAAACTTCAACATATGGTTCCCTGAACCTCAACAGTAGAATATGTATTTGGTATGCTAATATACTGATCTAAAGTATGGATTTGAAATCAGAGGATGTAGGTTTGAATATTGATTCTGTTACCTTACTACCTGTGAGACCTTGGACAAGTCACTTGGACTTCCTTGGGCTTCAATTTCCTCATTTGTAAAATGAAAGGCAAGTTAGGCAGTCTGTAAGGGGCTCTTCCAACTCTAGTTCGTATAATACTAAAAGTTTTATTTTTTTCTTTCAACTAATTCAGAAGAAAAGGTAAATAATTCTTATTCTTTGGGCACTATAGCTAGCTGAATGATTTAGATGTCTGCTTAAGCCTTCATTATTTTTCTTCCTAAGCTGCTTGAGAAGTACCATATCATTTATCTTTGTTATCTTTTCCTCCATGAAATACAGTGCCTTTCTCATAGGGGCAATACATTGAGAAATGTTTCTTTGAATCTTTGTTAATTGGTAAGTCTATGATCCCTTTTAAATTCTATAATGGAGTAGAAAAATATACTGTGAAATGCCAATCTATATCACTTAAAGCTGATATGTAAATATGCTTTTTCATTTTATCTTGTGAATTTTATGTATGATGAGTGATTGATATATACTAATAATGGTTGATATGTACTAATTTTTTTGATTCTATATTCTTGGCATTTTAATTCAAATGGGTATGTCATTGAATCTCTCTGAAATTTCTCCAGCTATAAAATAACAGGATAGGACAAAGAATCACTAAAATTCCTTTTCAGCTGATGATTGTTGACTGAGTACCTTGACCGAGCTTCACTCATATATAACTAGTCAGGGTCCAAAATTTGACTGAATTCTGTTTTTTACTATTAGGCAGGACCAGAGATCTTCCCTGCTTCTCCTTACCCTTCACATTGGTGACCAGGTTAAGATGAACGACCCTTCAGAGATCCACTTAGGAGAAGATTATATGCTTAACATTAGGTTGAAACTTGTGTCAAAGCTGACTTAACTGATGATTAGAGTGAGGATCTCAGCCTAGGACTTCATCAGTTCCTACCTCTGACCATCAGGAAGGACCAGGAATTGGGACACTAATTCACTGCTGGTGGAATTGTGAATGAATCTAAGCATTTTGGAGAGCAATCTGAAATTCTGCCCAAAGAGTTATTAAACTACTAAAACCCTTTGACCCACCATGGTTTATTTCCAAAGATAATTAGGGGAAAAGAAAAAGACAGATGTTCTAAAATGTTTATAGCAGCTCCCTTTGTGGTGGCAAAGAACAGGAATTGCAGGGATGCCCATCAATTGGGAAATGGCTGAACAGGCTGTGGTACATAATTATGATGGAATGCTACTGTGCTATAAGAAATGATGAGCTCAATAATTTTAGAAAAACATGGAAAGACTTGCATGAAATAAGGAAAAGCAAAGTGAGCAGAACCAAGAGAATATTGTATACACTAACAAAAATATTGTTTTAAGAACAACTTCTGGCAAATAAGTTACTTCAACTATTAGAAACACCCAAATCAACTATAAAGGACATATGAAGACACAATCTGCATCTAGAGAAAGAACTGATAGATAGAAGTATGTATAGAATAATTTTACATATATGCCTATTTGTATCTAATGGTAGCCATCTCTGGGGCAGTGGGTGGAGGGAAAGGAAGAAAAAAAGAAATTTAAGTGATAATTGCATATTTGAAGGGAATAATAAGTTGGGCATAGTAGATTTGCATTTTCATGTGCAAGCATCTTTTTTTATTGTACTATATTATGGAAATGCTTGTTTTATTCCACAAACTAAAAATAAAACAAAAAAAGAAAAAAATCATCTATCTGATGAGGGGTGAAGTAAAATCTCTGTTGATGAAATGAGCAGTTACAGGTTACTGAATTACTGAAGTAATTCTATACATCATTAATTTAAATACTTTGATAGATATCTTAAAATTTTTTATTTTTAATTTATAAAATAAAACATGCATTTCCATAACATAGCTGAACAAAAAAAAAGATGACACATGAAACTGCATATCTATTATGTACAACTTGCTATTTCTTTTAAATATACAATAAAGTCATCACGTAAATTTTTTAAAAAAAGAAAAACAATTATTAGAGAAGTCATTAAAGGAAAAAGGTATAGGATAGCCTTAAAATATGGAAGGGACAAACAAAGGGACAAAAAAATGCACGTTTGTAGGCAGATTTAAATGGGACTTGTTCAGGCAGTTAGAGTGCCACAGATGTTAAATGCTAAGAACTCCATTTCAATACAAAGCAAACATATAATCAAATTATTCTGTTACAGAAAGTAACTTACATGAAAAGCGACCAAGGAAAAAATCTGTTAAGTAGAACTGTTTTTTGGAGGGAGTATATAACTGTATAAATAAAGTATTGTTTCTTTGTTTACTCCCTGACTAATGGAAATACCTTAGGTAGGAAATACCTTTTTAATGACGTTTGCTAGTTAATATACAGGAATATTTTTTTCTATTAGTTGAAACAGTGCCATTTCCCCTCCTATTTCCTACCACTACCCTCCTCAATAATTATCATAATTATAGTAATAATAATAATAATATTTAGCATTTATATAGAACTCTAAAGTTTGCAAAGTGCTTTACAAATATCTCATTTTATCCTGACAACCACCCTGGGGAGGTATGCACTATTATCATCTCCATTTTACAGATGAGGAAACTAAAGCAGACAGAGGTTAAGCGACTTATCCAGGAAATAACTAAGGTTAAGATTTTAATTTAGGTTTTACTGACTCCAAGGATCCAGCCCTCTAACCACTGCAAAACATACCTGCCTTCTTCATCTTCACCCCAACTTTCAATAACATCTCCACCACCCTTACCCTTAATCCTCTTTCCACTCTCTTGGTTCCTTAATGATCCCCTAACGTTGATTGCTAACCATCCTCAGCCACCATCAATCCAAAAGGGGTAAAGTCATCCTAAAATTGATGACCCTGCCCAATCTAGTGGACAGGAGCAAGAAGGATATTTATTTCACACTCTCAATTACAAAAGAAACCCATTTGTATTGATAATACCAGAAATTTTTATAATGGGAATAAGTCCCTGGACAGGGAAGACACCTTTATATTCTGCCACTAATTGTGTGACGTTAGGGAAGTTACAGGTCTTTTCTAAGTCTTAATTTCCTCATTGGTAAAATAAGGGAATTAAGACTAAACGGCCTCAAAGCTCTCTGATGCTGAAAATCTATGTTTTTGATTTTGTAAAACTGATAATCCAATAGCTTCTATCCTCTAGAGAGAGTTATAGTGTTGTTTGTTGTTGTTCAGTCGTTTCAGTCATGTCCTACTATTGGTGACCCCATTTTCTTGGCAAAGACACTGGAATGGTTTACCCTTTCCTTCTCCAACTCATTTTATTTACAGATGAGAAAACTGAGGCAAACATGGTTAAGTGACTTGCTCAGGTCACACAGCTAGTGAGTATCTAAATCCGAATTTGAATTCGGGTCTTCCTGACTCCAGGCGACTACTTTATCCACTGCACCACCCAGCTGCCCCACTAGAAAACAAGGGTTCAACAATTTCAAGCGAAAACAACAAAAACTAATTTTATAGAAATAAAGTCCAAAAAAACAAGCCAAATATAATCTGCTGCCATTTGCTTAAAAAAAAATAGGTATTAACTTCAAAATAAGTATGATACATGATAGTATCAGCTAATGTCAAAATCCCAAGGACAAAATCACACTGGCTGAGGGAAAATACTAACTAGGAAGGCCTCAGTAATCACAGCTATCCCTGTTCTGATCTCTCTTTCTGATTCAGATTCCTAAACTGGCAGAACTAAATAGACAGGAAGGAAAAAAATCAGGATAAAAGGATAAAAGATAACCTTTACTTGTCTGGAGCTTACAGCATTTAAGGAGCTTGACCCTTTAATCTAAATAGTAAAAAGGTAAATCACAAAAAAAGTCTACCAAATGAGGCTCACTGAGGAACCACACTACAAGAACAATTTTTTTTTTAAATTAGCAAAGGGAAACAAGAACAGGGCTTCTGAAATCAAGAAGAAAAAATACAGAATGGGGGGACAATAAAAAAACAAACACAGATCTTGGTAAATAAGAAACGTAGCATCTGCAAACATAGATTTCAAGCGCTGAGTCATTCCATTCAGTAACAAAGTAGCATTTTTCTTCCTAAAAGTATTAAGTCTGTTAGATTAAGAAGTTAGACCAGAATGTAAAAAAGTAGGTTTTAGAATCATAAAGGTTATTTCCTTCAAGAAGTTCCAAAACATAAGAAGTACTCAGTGTAGAAAGATATGGAAAAATAACTCACAAAAAGTTTGAAATAGGAATAGAAAGGAGCAATTTAGGGAACATTTTAAAGAGACTAAAAAAAGCTTAAAGATACTGTTAATCTAACAAAACCCTGACTACAAAACACTAAAAAATAAATTGTAATTTAAAAATTAAGAGACAGTCTGAACTTCAGAGTAAGTCATCATCAAGTGGGAGAGGGGAAATCAGAATTTATTGTAGCAGGTGCTACATTTTGAATCTTTCAACACAGATTTCCCTTATCACCTCTTGCTAGACCGTTGATCATTTTCATTGTTCCAACAATTATAAACAAACACACTCACTTCATGGTCTTTAGGATTCTGATTTGCAAACATATCTATAACAGGCTGCACATCAGCTACTTCATGAGGTAAGAAACCAAGGAAGATTTTATATCCTCGCACCTAAGAAAGAAAAGTTATAGATATTTAAAACACAACTAAAGAAAATAAAACTTTGCTCAAGATATAACACAAATCAATTTGTAAGCCCCTGGCAGGCAGAATCCAGAGTGTCTTGTCATGTTACAATATAATACAGTACAGTACAATACAAATTACCAAATTACTATGTAGAATATAATGTGCTATCTTGCTTCTAAAATTATACAATTCCAAAAACAAGTTTCAAGGAGTACACAGATCAATTCTGAAACAAATTTTGGTTCCAGATTTTTGAATTTGATTTTGAGTTCATAAAGTTCTAACAGTGATAAATAATTACTTATTAAGATGTAACACACCTCAGGACAGTTGTTCCATATACAACAAAAGTTCATGAAAGGCCTTAATGGATAAATGAACAACTAACCTGGCCATGGTAAATCCCTACTGAGGCTTAGGAAGACAAGCATATGATTTCCTTCAGTAACCTACTAGGGACATTTAGGATTCTCTCTATCACCACTGAAGATGCTAATCACTTTAGCAGCAATCAGTATTCTTTTTTTTAAACCATTTTGGAAGCAAAATTGACCATGAAAACTAGAACAACTGCAAGGAATCAACCAAATGATCAGCATGCCTCCCCACAATACTACAGGGTTTGGTTATCAAATAATGCTCAGTGAATCATAATTTATAATTACAATTATAACACAATTTCTTCAGCTCTACTAACAAACAATAATATGATCAACAAAGTACATTACTACCATCAATTCAGCACAGGCTTGGATATTACTACAACCTCCTAACTGGTTTCCCTGACTCACTTTGCTTGAGTCTCTCTTACATATTTATCATATATTTACTATTGTGGTTACTTGTGCCAGTGAAGTATCCCCTCAACTAGACTATAAATTAACTAAGGGAGCTTGCTATTACGAATCCTTTTATTAAGCAAATAATCATTTTCCCAATTGTTTTTCATATAAATTCAATGTATTTGCCTACAGCAAGGTATAATCATAATACATTATTCTGTAGCAGTTTTATTTTATGTTTTTCCATCAAGGGTCTAATTTCCCAGAAAACACTTAGTTTTTTTGAACTATCTTAATCTGCCCATCTTCAAATTCCCATTAGGACACTATTTCACTGTATTTATGTATATATCCTTATATAATACAAAAGATATATTAAATACCTTGGGAATTATGAAGTCAATTAGGTCATTCCAGATGCACCATAAGATCAAACCCAAATAAAGAAGATAAAAAGCCAATGAAAATTATAACTGCTTTAGTAATTATTTTCCTTAACCCTTAATAAAAGTAATATGTTTAAAGGTAATAAATTTTAAACTAATTACGTATACTATTAAGCTAATTATTACCTTTGTAATGATGTAAAGAAATTTAAAGGCCAGATGTACAAGAGCAGGAGGAGAATCACTATCCCTCACAATATCCAACAATAAATTCAACATCCATTCTATGAGAGAAAAAAAAGTCAAAATACCCAAGCATGAGTTATGAATTGAAAATAAATTTATGGTTGTATGAGCATGTATGTACATGTGTTTTGTGTGTGTGTGTGTGTGTGTGTGTGTGTGTGTGTGTATTCTTTCTACACGTAGCTCAAGAGTAAAGGTGGTAGCTTGTAAAAGCAAAATTTGTCTGAGCCTAATCATGACAAGTAACAAATAAGAATTAAATTACTACAGATATGCAAAATGTCTGCATAAAACATACTACAGAAGTTGTTACAGCACTTTAAAGTTTGCATAGTGCTTTAACTACATCATCTCATTAGAGCCCCACAACAAATCTGTAAGGTGTATATTACAGATATGATTATCCCTATTTTACAGATGAGGAAATTAAAACTCATTAAGTGACTTTGTCTATCATCATAGGGGATACATTTGAACCAAAGTTTCATGGACTTCAACTCTAGCCACTAATGCCATTAATTACAAATCCAAACAGAGACATTGCTACAAAACTATCACGACTTAGCTAAAAATAATCATTTACTCATCAATTTGCTTTCAATTTTTTTACTTTGTTCTCAAACTCTACTGAAAATGAAACCAAATAAAGGCTAACACATGTAAAAACTGAGTTCTTTCTCTAGGATCATGATCAGGCACAATTAAAAACAAACATAGAAATCCCAACCTAGATGTGGATCCAACAGATGAGGCTGTTCCTGGTACTTGTCCATTATCACTGAAAGATAAATTCAAATGAAGAGAAAACAAAATATAAGTTTGAATTACATTAAAATATATATCAAGTGAAAATCCAAATTAATTTGCAAAAAGTTCAGTATTCATCTTTGTTGATGAAATGGACAACTCAAAATATTTCCTAAACAGTTACATGTTTCTTAAAAATAGGCTCATTTCTTACCTTATATAATTAATTGAAAGCTCTTAAGGATTTATGCTCCAAGCCTTACAAATAACAAGCACTTTTAAAGTGTGTTGAACTTAACTGTGTTAACTGATACATTTAATATCCTTTAATTAATCAAACTGGCACTGATTTGTAGGCAACCTAAAAGAAAAATTAAGCCATGTCTAAATAAATAAAAATGATAATCAAAAATACAACAAGTACAGTCAGAGTTTTTTGTTCTCTCAGGACTAACATAGCCAACATTATCCTTTGTCAGGTCACCAACACCCTTAATCAGTAAATGCATTTTCACTGAAGTGGGTATGGAACAGTTAAGATTGCATGCTTATCAATGAGGAAACTGAGGCCTAGGGAAGTCAAGTGATGTGTCCAAGGTCACAAAGACAGTAAATGGCAAAGGTGGGATTTGAACTCAGGTCTTCTAACTACAGAACCACTGCTTCATCCCCTATCTCATCTTCAAAGTTATATCCTTCAAAGAACCATAGAAATCTGAAAACTGGATGGAAACAGTGCCACCAAAAGGTCTGGGTTAATTATCATGAATAAATCCAGCACCCTTTTATCCCTGAAAAACAGTGACAAATGTGCCAAATAAAGTAGTACAACAACAATAAAAACAAGAGAGGATAGAACCAATTCCTCAAAGTGAAAACATTATCCAGAAGAAAAAAAGACCCAATAGGGAAACTAAAGAAATTGCTTTAAAAAAAAGCCCCTCAAAAATGAATAGGAAGTAAAAGCAAGGAAAAAACTTCCAGAAAGAAATAATGATACAAAAATAGAAGCCCCAGAACAACTTCTTAGTTGTTAAAAAGGTCCAACAGGGGGAAATAAAGATCTAGAACCTATTTCTTTAAATGTACATAAGATTCATTAGACTTAGCTCTCCTCAGCAATGCAAGGATCTAAGACAGCTCCAAAAGACTCATGATGGAAAACACTATCCACATCCAGGGAAAGAACTTTGGAGTCTGAATGCAGATGGAAGCATACTATTTGCCCTCCTTTTCTTTTTTTTGTTTTCTTTTATTTCTTCTTTCTAGTGGTTCCTTCCATTAGTTCTAATTCTTCTATACACCATGATTAATGTGACAATATGCTTAAAATGAATGTATGAGTAGAGCCTACATCAGATTACACAACATCTTGGAGAGAGGGGAAGAGAGGGAGAAGGAGAAAATTTAAAACTCAGCCCCAGGCAAAACCCTGGAACAGCTGAGCCAGAAGAAAGATGGAGTGCAGCAGTCTAGTAGCCCAGGTAGCTTTAGATAATCATTAACAGAAAAGGCCCCTTTTGCTGTTGGGGGAAATGGAGCAGTACAGAATGGGAGGCATCCCAGCAAGCTAGTGGAAAGCTCCACCTCAGCATACCAGGCAAAGATCCTGAAACCCAGGTGGTAGAGCAGGCAAACACCAACACCAGGACCCCCAACTGCCTCAGTGAGAGCGTAGGAACTGGTGGAAACCAGCTTGGAAAACCACCAGGTGCCGCAGCATTCTATAGCAACTGGCTTTCCCCATGCCTCAGAAAAACTAAGGGAAGCAGCACTCCAAGGGGCCCCAGGCAGACAAACATCCTGCAACATCCATCTGAAAGGAGCAGAAAAAAGTGAAAGGAAGGAAAGGCCCAAGGTGATCAGGAAATCTCCAGGGGCCATACTACCCAATCTTACCTCTAGAGTTCCAGTGTTGCTGATTCCAGCCCAACACCAGGTAAGCTGCCAGAATCTACAGCCTTCAACTGCCAACACAAATCCAGCACACAATGCCAGTGACCAGGCCCTAGGCTCCCAACACAAGAAGCTCAGTCAGTACCCTCTGTGCTCCCCAGCAGAAGAGCTTAATTTCTTTAAAAGCCAGGAAATAAGCAAACACCATGAGCAAAAAGAAATGTATGCTAGATTCATATTATGAGAACAGTGAAGATCAAGGTAGAAATTCTGAAGAGGATAACATTGCCAACAAACCCACATCTGGAACCTCAAAAGGGAATATGAACTGGTCTGAAGCCCAAAAAGCCTTCTCAGAAGAGCTCAAGAAGGATTTTAAAAGTCAAGGACAAAAATTAACTGTAGAAAACAAGTTCTTAAAAAATACAATTGGCCAACTAGAAAAAAAAGTACACTGAAGAAAACAAGTCCCTAAAAATACAACTGGCCAAATGGAAAAAAAGTACACTGAAGAAAACAAGTCTCTAAAAAATATAATTGGCAAGAAGGGCGGAGCCAATATGGCGGAGTAAAAGCAGTAACTTGCTTGAGCTCTGCCTCAAATCCCTCCATATACCTGTAAAAAATGGCTCTAAAGAAATTCTAAAGCAGCAGAACCCACAGAAAAGACAGACTGAAACAAATTTACAGCCCAAGACAGCCTGGATGGTTGACTAGAAAGGTATATCGTGCCAAGTGGGAAGAGGAGCACAGTTTGGTGTGGGTGCACAGGCAAAACAGGCCTCAGCAAACCTGGAGCAGGCCTCAGAGGACTTAATCGTGGGCAGCTGTGGCAGTTTCCAGACTTCTCAACCCACAAACGACAAAGACAACTTAGAAAGTCAGTGGGAAGAGTCTGACTACGGTAAGAGAGAAGCATGGTCCTGGTCCCAGTCCCTGAACTCGGCCCCTGGGCAGTGGCTGCTTCCAGAGCTTCCAGCCCACAGACTGAGGGGGAATTGAGTAGCTGATCAGAGGGGGACTGCAGGGATCTCTTTGCCAGTGCTGAGGCAGGAATCTCTTGCTTTGCCCATGCTTGGATCTGGGTCACAGTTCTGGGTGGTGGTCCTGAAGTGAGGAGTACTGACCCAGTGGAGCTTGTGGTGGCGTTGGAGAGAAAATCCTCCTCACAGTTCTAAGGCAGAAAAGAGTGCTTGTGGTCACTCACAAACCAGGGCATAGGCCAGGAAATGAGTAAACACCTCACCCCTTATCATACCACCTTGGAAGAACTGAAAATTTACAGGTCCCTAGAAGTATCTCTGAAAACAGCTATACAAAACCCCCGCACTGTGGGACGATGGAAGCACAGTGGAAGCAGAGCCTTACCTTAACAAAGAGTTTAAAAGTCAAGTAATTGGCTGGGATCATGAACAAAGATCCAAAAAGAGTCAGACCATAGAATCTTACTTTGGTGACAAAGAAGATTAAAACACACAACCAGAAGAAGACAACAAAGTCAAAGCTCCTACGTCCAAAACCTCAAAGAAAAATATGAATTGGTCCCAGGCCATGGAAGAGTTCAAAAAGGATTTTGAGAAGCAAGTAAGAGAAGCAGAGGAAAAACTGAGAGTGATGCAAGAAAATCATGAAAAACAAATCAACAGCTTGCTAAAGGAGACCCAAAAAAAAATAGTGAAGAAAATAACACCTTAAAAAATAGCCTAACCCAAATGGCAAAAGAGGCCCAGCAAGCCAATGAGGAGAAGAATGCCTTAAAAAGCAAAATTGGCCAAATGGAAAAGGAAGTCCAAAAGCTTACTGAAGAAAATACTTCCTTAAATATTAGAATGGAGCAACTGGAAGCTAGTGACTTTATGAGAAATCAAGACACTGTAAAACAAATTCAAAAGAATGAAAAAATTGAAAACAATGTGAAACATCTCACTGGAAAAACAACTGACCTGGAAAATAGATCCAGGAGAGATAATTTTAAAATTACTGGCCTATCTGAAATCCATGGTCAAAAAAAGAACCTAGACAGCATCGTTCAAGAAATTCTCCAGTGGATAGAGCACCAGCCCTAACGTCAAAAGGACCTGAGTTCAAATATGGCCTCAGACCAAACACCTGACACTTACTAGCTGTGTGATCATGGGCAAGTCACTTAACTCCAATTGACTAATAAAAATAAAATTAATTTAAAAAAAAAAGAAATTCTCAAAGAAAACTGCCCTGATATTTTAGAACCAAAGGGCAAAACAGAAATTGAAAGAATCCACCAATCACCTCCTGAAAGAATCCCTAAAGGAAAACGCCTAGGAATATTGTAGCCAAATTCCAGAGTTTCCAGATCAAGAAGAAAATACTGCAAGAAGCCAGAAAGAAACAATTCAAGTACTGTGGAAACACAATCAGGATAACACAAGATTTAGCAGCTTCTGCATTAAGGGATCAGAGGGCATGGAATGTGATATTCCTGAGGGCAAAGAAGACAAGATTACAACCAAGAATCACCCACCCAGCAAAACTGAACATAATCCTTCAGGGGAAAAAATGGATATTCAGTGCAATAGAGGACTTTCAAACATTCTTGATGAAAAGATCAGAACTGAATAGAAAATTTTAGTTTTATATACAAGACTCAAAAGAAACACGAAGAGGTAAACAGGAAAGAGAAATCATAAGAGACTTATTAAGGTGGAACTGTTCACATTCTGCATGGAAAGATGATATTTGTAACTCATGAGTCCTTTGTCAATATTAGATAAAGGGAAAAAATATATATGTATATAGATAGATAGGTAGATAGATAGATAGATAGATAGATAGATAGATAGATAGATAGATAGATAGACAGATAGATGGAGAGCACAAGGTGAGTTAAAGATGAAGGGAAGAATAATTTTATTCTGGAGAATAAAATTAAGGGGTGAGAGAGGATTATACTGGGAGAAGGAGAAAGGGAGAGGTAGAATGGGGTGAATTATCTCACACGAAACAGACAAGAAAAGGCTTTTACAGTGGAGGGGAAATGGGGGAAGGTGAGAGGGAATGAGTGAATCTTATTCTCATCGGATTTGGCTTAAGGAGAGAATAACATACACATTCAATTGGGTATGGAAATCTATCTTACCCTACAAGAAAATAGGGAAG